GTATCAATGGATTTTTAGTTTTCTTTGATTGTCTTTTCAGAATTTCATAAAAGTCTCAGAGAGAGCCTTGGCTATTCACACCACATATAAAAACATTAGAAGAGGATCATACAAAAATATTAATGATAAATTAATAAATTAGTAAATCAGAATATGATAGCATGGATCAAATATTTCAAGCATGCTTAAACTTTGATTCAGAAAACCCATATTTGTAGTTCTTTGCATACAACTATTTATTGTTCCGATCTCTTCTCAGCTGAAACATTCCCATTTCATGACAGGAACAGGTTCTAAATTTATCCCCCAACAGGTTTTGAAATGTCTGTTTTGAGTTATTGTCTTATAATGTCTGTGTGGAACATCTATTTTCAGTCAAGCCAAGTGAATATAAGCAATAAGTAAAACATGTTTTTAAAATCAAATCACAAAATATGTACAAACCCTAATTCATTTTTCCTATCCATCCTGAACAAACAGGTTTCCTTTATGCATCATTTATCATTAAACACTGATTTCAAGCAAAACTGTGTTAAGTTCTGTGTTTATTATTGGCTTAATATGAGATACATGGAATAATTTTTCAGGTCAATATCCAGGCTTGGTGTCTATTTGGCTGCACTTCTGGATATTCCGCCAAATGGGTAATAGAGCACTGTTTTTAGGCAGTCTGCGTTCCAGTTTAAAGGAAAAAATTGGTCATATTCAGAAATCAAACTTCTGAGAGTACTTAAAATATGAAATTATTACATACTGTTCAATAAATTATAATTGTTTAAATTAAGAGTAATTTTATTTGAATTAAGGGTTTTAGGATTTACTGGAGACATCCATGTTTGTCACAGAACATTACTGCCACCCACCAGTTTGTGATGTCACGTTGTGGTATCGGCTGCTCTTCCAAATGTTGGCTATATATTACGTGTTTACCGTCATCCAACCTGTATGCCATTAATACCACACAAAGTTCATTATTCTGTGTCTTCCTACGCAGAATAATGAGAGCAGTATTTATGTTTAACCATATTAAAATGATTGTGTATTTAAGGTTGGGAAAGATCGCTAGATGCGCTCCAGCACTTCCATCCATGTTTACTTCCATAAAAACAGCGACGCTGGCTTATGACATCATTATATCCTCTACTGAGCATGTGGTACACTTGCGTCATACAAATGCGTTTCACACAGGAGCCACATATATTTGGAAATGTGAATGAGAACTCAAGAATTTGGATTTCACAAAACAATCAGAATGGAGCATTAAGGCCTGCAGTGTGAACATAGCCAAAGTGGTCCAAATGGAGTTTCCAAAACAAGGTTAAGCTTAAATTTGACCTGGGAAAACCCAAAGTCAGTTAATTTAACTGACAAAACATGCTGTAAATACACATATACATGTGCTGCAACTGTGTAATGTACAGTATACAGTAGGCAGTGGTGTCAAAAGTACACACATTTGTTACTTAAGTACAAGTATATTCACTGCAGTTTAAAAACACTCTGGTAAAAGTTGACCTCTTTACTCAAGTAAAAGTGAAAAAGTATGTGCTCCAAAAACTACTTACAGTATAAAAGTATAAAGTAACCTTTAAAAAAAAACAGCCAGATGCAACTATATGAATTGAAAGCTCAATTTTTCGACTATTTAGAAAAAATTCTTTGAGATAGGGCCAAGGATGGGGGAGGTCTTGCTGGTCTCCGCCTCCACCTCCGGATACGCTCTCGCCGGACATTTTAACATCTTTTTCCGAATCCGACATTGTAGCATTGCATAGACATTTCACGTTTACAGTTTGAAGAACACCTGCTTGCTTCTGAGGATTTCCTTTAGCTAACCAATGAGTGTTTACGTTCTATGACTCATCCAATTACACTAGTTTTAACTAAATGTGGATGGAGCCAATGATCTGCATTGGATGGCGCACATGACGTGAAATACATATTTATAAACATTAAACCAAAGCCAAGAGTAACAAGTAATGTTTGTTTTTAAAATGTAAGGAACAGAAAGTACAGATACATGTGTGAAAATGTAACGAGTAGAAGTCAGAAGTAGGAAGAGAAATAAGTAATGGAATAAAGTACAGATACCTAAAAAATGTACTTAAGTACTGTAACGAAGTATTTGTACTTTGTTGCTTGACACCTCTGAGTATAGGAGCATGTGCATTATTAATGATTATGTATGAATTTTAATCAAAGTGGGAGGATTAAGCTAAAGCAGCTTTACTAGAGACATATTTGGTCTCAGAGCAACCAGATCTGAGTTTGTTGTTTGCCCTCCTCTGATAATTGTGCTAATGATGGAAACTGATAGAGAGGAACTCTGTTTTCCACAAATCAACAACTCTTGCAGAAAGCAGCAGAGGCATCATGCTGGAAACATTTCTCTTTTCATTCTGCTGTCCTGTGTTTCTTTCATAACTGTGAACCTCAACCTGCTGGTCATCATTGCAGTATCCCACTTCAGGCACTAAACATGTTTTATATTAATACAGTAAATAGTATCTGTTATAATGTTTATCAAATGTGATCCAAACCTGTTGCTCTGAACCTACTTCTAAACCAATACCATACTTTATTTTTAGCCTGATCACAAGTGTTGAACATTCTATTTTGATGTTTATTTTTTTGTTGTTATTAGATATTAAAAAATGTACTTATTATATCACTTCATTGTGTTCCAGGCAGCTTCACACCCCCACCAATCTGTTTCTCCTCTCACTGGCTGTCTCAGACTTTCTTGTTGGAATCCTGCTGATGCCTATTCAGATAACCACGATAGGAGGCTGTTGGATTTTAGGAAGTTTTGGGTGTGGAATGGTTAAGTATACTGCACAAATAATTACATCTGCTTCTGTAGGAAACATGGTGCTTATATCAGTGGACCGATATGTGGCAATCTGTGAGCCTTTGTCTTATCCCATCAAAGTCACTACGTTAAGGGTTCAGGTCTGTATTTGTCTGTGTTGGGGATCCTCTGTTTTCTACAATGGTTTGATACTCAAGGAGAACATAGAATATCCAGAAAAATATAGTTCCTGCTACGGAGAATGTATATCATATATAGATCTATTACCAGGAGCTTTTGATGTCATATTGACATTCATTGCTCCAATTACAGTCATCATAGTTCTGTACATAAGAGTCTTTGTGGTTGCTGTGTCTCAGGCCCGGGCCATGAGGTCTCATATTACAGCTGTCAATATGAAAGGTTCAATTCGTATAACGGCTAAGAAGTCTGAGAGAAAAGCAGCCACAGCTCTCGGTGTTGTTGTAATAGTGTTTCTCTTTTGTTTCTGTCCTTATTTTTGCTACTCTCTTATTGGTGAAAACATACAAACTGATGCAGAGATTTTTTGGGGGATCTGGTTGCTTTACATTAATTCTTGTATAAATCCAATAATCTATGTTTTCTTTTACCCCTGGTTTAGGAAGTCTGTCAAACTCACTGTAACTCTACAAATACTTCAGCCTCACTCCTGTCATGTAAACCCATTGGATAGAAGCATTTAGAGTTATTCTATGAAGAATCGACCCAGTCACTAAAGGCTGGACCTTGCCTTATTCTGTCCGACTTCTAAATGTAGTAGTTAGATAAGCCTTATCCTGAGGTTTCTAGTATATTCTCATTAATAAGATAATTATTTAATTATCCAAACATTTTAAATTTAAATTGGTAGTTTTATTTTACAGCTTCCCTTATAACAATGTATGTCAGTCTTGGCATTTATATGCAAGTTGTCATCTGACTTTTTTGTTAGTGTGTGAATAGTGTACACTTTATAGTTAGACGGAGTAAATGTGAATTTAGTGTTAAGCACTGGATGGCGCATGTCTCTATCCAAGACATTAGATTACAGGTGGCTGCACTGGTGCCCATATAATAAAAGTCAATCCAAAGTTTTTTTAATTTATTTATTTTTTAACAGTGTCCTGTCTGGCGATGTGGCAATAGGAATAATTGTCTTGATGCCAAAAAGAGCCCAACAGA